ATCGCAAATGACATTCACTTCCTCATTTTAAATGGAACACGTCTTGGTATGGGTTTACTTATTTAGATAGAAAATCACATTGTGAGTACAATGACATCCCGTTTGTCACTTCTTGACAGTCATCAACCTGAAACGGTCACTTTTAGATCAAGTTACCAGGGAAAAATAGGTTTCACAAAGTTTCATTCTCGATTTCGTATACAGGTTCATGCAAAGTTCAGAGTTTATATTTGATAAGGACATTTTGTTACGAACAATTTGATACCAAACAATCCATATTTGACATAAACTATAAATAAAATACTCAACTTCTAATTACACTCTTGAAAATGTGATATATATCAAAAAGTGACGAATGGGGTTCTATTGTATCCACATTGTGATTTTTTATTGGAATCAGTTGAAATATACCGGATGTTCCATTTGAAATAAGAAAGTGAGGGCCATTTCCGGTCAAACCTCAAGTGACATAAAACAATTGAATACGTCGAAAAATGCATACTTATCTGATTGCTATACTTACACACCGGATTCCATTTGTTCATCTGTACAAACACAAAATTTATAGGAGTGAGTGATGACATTTATTATTAACGATGTTTGTGCATTTTTAGTTCAAAGATAGGGAATAATTCAAAATTTGAATCATACTTGTGCTTGAATCTTCTTTCTTATTTGAAACTTATGAGATAATGTACAAGGCATTACTATACTCTTATATGCTTAGGTACATGTAGACTAGCCGGTAGTTTTTTTGCAATGTTTTTTCAATGTAAAGATTTTCATGGGTTTTCAACATTTCCTAGACAATATATTAATTTGAGATCGAATAAATAAATGATTTTGAACGATTAGTAAATGCTTGCAGATTGGTTAGAATTTGAAAAAGATTATACCGCGGAAAAAATCTGCATACTCTGCCCTAATGAAGAAATACCCAAAACTATTAACTGAACATGTAATGGAGAGGGGGGTATTTTAAACAATTATTCAACGTCTGCTTTTTCGCAGATTAATTCTTGGTGTAACTTGTATCACAATAAACTACTATGCATACAATCGTCGTATGCACATGCGCTTAGGTTAATTTTTAATAAATGCACTTTTATTTATTGTTATTACAAAAACAGTGCATGTTTAAAAAATCACTATATACAGCGCATGAGCACGCTACAATTGTATGCAAAGTATCTCATCATGATACAAGTAACACCAAAAATAAGTCTGCATACGTTAATTCACTGTTCAAAAATACCCCACCCTTCAATACATGTTCAGTTAATGGTTTCGGGTCTTTCTACACAAGGGCAGAGTATGCAAATTTTTTCCGCAGTATAATTTTTTTCAAATCTCAAGAAGAACCAATTTTCATGCATGCACAAATTTATAATTGTCTAGGACATGTTGAAACCCATGAAAATCATCACATATGAAAGTTGCATACATTGAAAAAGGCTGTTGTACTCCATCTTTTTATTTGCTTTCGGCTCTGTCTATGGCTCTGTGGTCCGTATCCTGTTGTCTTTGTAATAAGATGTTTTGTATCAATCAGTGTAGACATTTTTCAATTTATTTTTTGACTCATGATATCGATAAAAATAGGCAGTTGTTTCCAAGATAGGTGGAATTTTAATTTTCAATTCAAAGACATTTGACCTTCACAAATGATAAAAAAATCGCCTGCAGCGCTTTCGTCCTTTCTTATGACACTTAACTTGATGTACTCTTTTTTATTTTCAGAATCTGGTCACCCTATGAATAGCACACCATACGTTCCTCTTTCCATGTCAAAAACACGCGCATTTTTTCGATTAAAACGTGGTGTTGTTGGGATCCGTTGGTGAATCTCCGCCATCGTTAGAGGGCAAAGGAACCAGCTGGACGCCGGGAGAGACCAGCATGGAGGGTTCGGTGTTGCGCCTCTTCATCTTCCCCTTCAACTTCTTCAACATGGTGGCCTGAGGAGGGGCGCACACACATAACGCTCATTAAATCATCACGTTTCGAGGATTTAGCATCCACAATCGTCTCGAACGAAACCAACAAATCTACTGGTAGGCTAGTAGGGATAACATCGATTGACCAAGTTCATTATACTGTACAGGACTTTCATTTCAAATCTCACCACCCTGCATATCTTCTGATCTGCGGATATTAGAATTTTCAGAAAAAACAGGTCGATTTAGATATCGAGGGGGAAGTAAAATGCCAGTATCAATCGAATTCCATGTTCCTCCCCTTCACCCCCAGACACCCCTACTTTACAATCTCAAAAGGCACCCCCCATTTTGAGATACAAAAGATTCATGAGTCATGAGGTACTGTACATACTCCTACCACAAACAGAGGCGCCTGAGGGCAATATCGAATGGCCATCTGGAGTTTTCCTCCTCTTCAACAATAATGAACAGGGTGATTCATAGGATTGAGCGAAACAATATTTATGTCACAATTTTCCAACAGCCTCTTTGATTCATTACATTTTTCCATGGAACATTAGGCACCCCAATGTTGCCAGCTATCAAAGAGTTCACTCTGTATATGGTTTCAGTGAACAATGACCTCTCTTCTGTCAATAAGAACAAAATGTGTTGGTGCTTAATCCAACTAGAATGATTTATTTTTACGAATCGTGTCTTACTTACAGAAGACGATCATGACCGCAGAATCGAATATAATCCTATAAATCACCCTGTTTATTATTGTAGAAGAGGAGGAAAAACTCGACATTACATGGCCATTCGAAATTCTTCTCAGGGGCCTCTGTTCGTGGTAGGAGTATGTACAGTACCTCATGACTCACCCTGTATACGAAATAAATATTTTTTCACCTGGATGATTTGATCATTGATAGACCTTCAATTTCATGTATCTCAAAGTAGGTGGTGCCATTTGAGATTTCAATGTAGGAGTGTCTGGGGGTGAAGGGGATGAACATAGCATTCAATTGATACTGTTATTTTACTTCCCCCTCGATATCTAAATCGACCTGTTTTTGCCGAAAATTGAAATCTCCGCAGATCAGAAGATATGCAGGGTGGTAAGTTTTGAGATGAAAGCCCTGTATACAGTTGTGTGCAGAAAAAAGTCGAACAGCAGCTATTGACTATTATTGTGAGACAGGCTTCCCAATTTGGAATCACCTTTTTCTTATCGCAAATGTATACGATGTGTACTACTTTTGATTGAGAGCAGAAACATCATAGGCAGGTTTGCACCATGCAAACCTTGTGCAGGGTGAACAACTAAGAGTGGCTGTCAGAAAATCTCAGCAACGAATAACAGACCAAAGAAAACATGAAAGCTTTTCACCAACGGAAGATATTAACTATCAAAGTTGGAAAAATGATAGACATAACAGCCGTTCTTAGTTGTTCACCCAGTACTTGTTTATGCACACAACTGTACCTACGTTAATTCCGAGTTGATGAACTTTTTTCTATGACCGAGGAATACTTCAATTTCAATCATACTCTCAATATATCAGATGCCAATATCTCACTGGGATATGTCAAGCAGAAGGTGATGTTTTAGAGAAGGAGATCTTTATTGCGATCTGATCCTTCTACATAGCATATCATTTGTCTCCACCGTCATTCACTACAGGGTGGAAACTTCAATTGGAATACATTCGCTAGAAAGCAAGTGAATTGATATTATAGAAATTCCTGAGGGACGTCAAAGTCAAGGTATATAATATCTACTTCTTTCAAGCAATATGGATAAAATATTCTTTCAAACATAACTGAAAGCACCTAACCCCCAACTCGTTTTTCGAATGCAGCCCATTCCTCAAACTGTGACCCTATGGATTATTTCTTCAAGTCATCTCTCATAGATTCTCATTTTTTATTGGGACGCCACTGATTAATTCAATCCGATTTCTTCAAAACAGAACAAGAAGACATATATTAAATATTCTTATCCATTCTATTGATTTTCACTCAGACATGTTAACACCCAATACAAATAACTACGTTGAAGTAATCAGATAGATCTGCTAGGAGAGCGTGGAGTCTTTTGAATATATCTACATTTTGAAAGCAATATGAAGAAAATATTCCTTCAAACGCAACTTGAATCACCCTCAGCATGTAATTTTCCAAATGCAACCCTATGGTTGTAACTCTTCATTGAAAAGCTGACAGAAAGAGGATTCCAGTGTACTGATGAAATTTAATTTTGTAGTACGTTTGAGGGTTTTGCATAAAATCAAAACATGATTTTCAAGTTTTATTTTTGTTTTCTCATTGTAGAAATCACCCCAGATGTGTACTATTCACTTGTTGGCCGTGGTAGCATCCCAGTATGTGATAGGTTTTATTTTTAACAATATGCAACATTTTCGGTGTTATTTTACTGATATCCTCTTTTATGCTTTTCTACTGATCTTCTATATTTTGAGGTATTTGAATGTGAACCCCACTTCTGATATGTCCCCACAAAAAAGAATCCAATGGTGTTAGATCGGGAGACCTTGCTGACCAATCGATAGTAACTCTTCTTTCAATCAACCTACCATAAAAAACTATCCAGATGATAGCAGCGTAGTGCAACGGAATCCAATCTTGCTGTAATCATAGCTCCTTATCGGTCAAGTTGGGGTTCCAAGGATTTGGAAATTAATTACATTGCACTGGGATTAGTTCGTGCTGAGGAAATGCTAGTATCTTGTTTCATTGATATAGTGTCATCGAAGAAAAGTGGTCCTGCAATTTTATGTTTTATTATTCCAGCCCACACAGAAGTCTTCTGTGGACGCTGGGTATAAAATTTTCTATATCCAATTGTAATGTTGAAAAAGTATAAATTGAAATTCAAAATACCTTTTTGATTTTATGCAACCCTCAAATCTACTGAAAACTAAAATTTGATCAGTACACTGGATTGCTCTTTTCACCACCTTTCCAATGAGGGGTCACAAGCCATAGGGTTGCGATTAAAAAAAAACATGTTGACAGTGGGATCAGCTACCCTTGGAAGTCTTTATTCTTTATATTGCTTGCAGGATGTAGTCGAGTACATTAAAACGTTGACACAATACTAAGTGGAATCATTAATCTAATGAACTTGCTTGAATGACATTTGAGACAATAATGAGTGAGATCAAAATAATGAACTTTCTTGGATGACAGTTGCTAGCGACTAACAATCTGCGTAGCGTCAATAAAAACTTGACAATGTGACAATGATATTTTGTCATTTTGAAGGCGATAAAAAACAGATAGGTATTATAAAAAAATATCTAGACTTCCGGTCTCACAATTCTTTTATCTCAATTCTCCTCAGGAAACAACAGCGGGTTAACACCGACTTAGTCGAATTTCCCAATATGACGAGATCAGAATACATTAATTTACGAGGTGAAAAACTCGCTTCGATAGTAATTCCTGGTCCATATCCAAATCTACTAGCCTACAGAATCAAATCATAAAGCAAAATGATCAAGCAAAAGATATACCCATGCCGATGACATCAAAATGAAATAATGACAACCTCAGGAGATGATAAAATAGAGAAAGAGAGTTGTGAAAAAGAAATAAGTGGCGTGTTGAGAATGGAACGGGTTGGTTTTTTTTTTGGTTTTTTTTTATCAGTCGTCTGTACTCCTGCCCCCCTCCCCATTGGCCGGTAGTATATTCGGTTCGGTAGGACGACGCTTGAACTTATTTTTCTTCAGCATTGTCGCCTGAATCAATCAATCAATCGGTTATCGAATCAACTGTCACACATCGTTGCCGAATCGGAAAACGCTCATTAAATCCAGAATGAAAATTTGCTTATTTATTCAAGGAAACTGAATCATTGTTAGAAACACAGTTTGATTCACATACCTAGCGGAATTGAGGAGACGAACAACTATTTTGTAAACTGCGACCATTTTTCGACAAGCACTTTTCGAAAGAAGGATTTATTGACAAATCTAACGATACTAATTCATTTGCGATTGGATTGAGAATAAGAACATGAATTAAGTATTACTATGGAAGATATTCCAAGCAAACATGATATATCGCGCAGGCCATTAGACGCCCTTAAGAACAGCAGCGGGCCCGGCTAGCCGTGTCGCACCGGCCGCCAGTGAGCCACCGGACTATCTGCTGACACTATTTGGTTAGAAATAAAAAATAGAGAGTCGAGACTCGGTCTCGAACCGGCGCTTCAGGGATGTCAGAAGCTTATTCCATTACGCTACTGCGGAACTTGAAGGATATAGGAGATTCAAAATAAGCGATACGCCCTCTTGCAGATATTCAAGTGACCAATGGAAAGTACATTGAATGTTTGTTCACATTCAGACTAACATGCATTTTATCTGGAATTTAGTTGTTATTGTCTGCTGCTGACGGCTATGGCAGGGCTATATGGATGACAAACAAACATAATATATATGCGTACAGCAAGCCGTGGCGGTACAACGGATGTCATTCTAACATTTTGGCGATATCGGTTTGCAGCTGCCGACACAAATCCGCTGCTGACGGCTTTTGCCCGGCTATATGGATGACAAACAAACATAATGAATATGCGTACAGCAAGCCGTGACGGTACAACCGATGGCATTCTAACATTATGCCGATATCGGTTTGCCGCTGCCGACACATTACCGCTGCTGACGGCTATAGCCCGGCTATTCATGTTTGCTGGATTAGATGAAAAAGATTTTCACTTTTGTGAAGTATGCCATGGATAGCCAAGGTGCATACTATTTCCAAATAACTTTTTTGGAAAACAAAACACTCAGGTAATGATAGAGATATGAACCTTACGAGCAGACAGTGGAAGTTCCTTAATTCAATACAATATTATCAGAAGTGAAAAATAAGTACTAAGGCGTGGAAAATGTTGAAAATGTCACCTTCTGATCTTGAATTGTCTCAGAATCCCAGAAACGTTTCAATATACAGGTTGTTTTGATTGAGAATTCAAATCGAGAGCCACTTTGATACTTAATGTTGATTTGTTGACACCCTGCATGATATAAAGACGGATCGATCGAAAACAGTAATAAGTCAGGTGAATTCGTGAAGATTTGAAAAAACTGATATCCAACTTAGTGTAAGCAATTTGTTAGTTTTCCCAATCTTGCCAGTGTATGTGAATGGACTCGTTAAAACCTAATTATATGAGGTCCACCAATGAATTTTTTGTTACTATTTGCAAGTGTATTATTGAATACCTATTTCTGATTTGATTGACACTGAGATCAAGCTCCGACATTTCTGAAGTGATTTTCCGTCTCATGAAATTCATAATAGATAGAAAGAGAAGCTAGACCTTAACTTGGTGAATTTACAGGACTTCATCTATATTCTCAACACTATATGATTCCCTCAGTCTTCCACGTCAAGTTCAAATATGTACAAAACTGATTTATACTCTGGATTGTTCCCAATTTTGATAAAAACTGCAATCACAACTGGGTAGGAATAGAAACGTACGTGAAAAAACTTTTCTACGATGTTTTGGATCAGCTTCTTCCGATTCAGAAACGCTGCGGTGTCTGCGGAAAACTGTACAACAAATAATATAGAAACATTTAACACATCAACTTTTGGCAGCTGAACGCGTATGTCGATGCTCCTCAGCCATAATAGCAGATAAAGTGCACCAAGAACGAGTTGGATATAATGAATTCACTAAAAGTATATGATTTTTTCGAATACCATTGTTTTGATATTTGGTAGAAGTTGTTTCAACTGATAGAATATACAGAGTGGGCCTTTGAAAACGAAACAGAGGCTCTGTAGGTCGCCAAAACCGGATTATGAAAAGAATCTGAAACACGTCATCTACATTTTCGAGGGGGACATCGTCCTACAATATTTTCAGCCCTGCGGCGTTGCCGCTGCTAACGAAAAGAAGCAACAACTTTGTTATTTCAAATGGAACACCTTGTATTTCATTGCATTTTTAGATTCTCCCCGAAGAGCTGATTTCATCAATGCATCACACTTGGGGTCTAGCTGTAATGGTTTCAGGGATATAAAGTGTTCAAAATCGAGATTTTTCAACTTTGACATTTTTTTGTGTCGAAACTATTCATTATTGGTCGAAACGGCTCTCATGTTCCTATCTCAACTTGTGATTTACTATCTACTGACATTTAACTGGAACAGATACAGGGTGATCAGAATTCTGAATCTTGAACCACCCTGTATTTGTTTCAAATAAATGTCAGTAGATAGTAAATCACAAGTTGAGATCGGGACATGAGAGCCGTTTTGACCAATAATGAATAGTTTCGACACAAAAAAATGTTAAAGTTGAAAAATCTCGATTTTGAACACTTTATATTCCTGAAACCATTACATCTAGACCCTAAGTGTGATGCATTGATGAAATCAGCTCTTCGGGGAGAATCTAAAAATACAATAAAATACATGGTGTTCCATTTGAAATACCAAAGTTGTTGCTTCTTTTCTCTAGAAGCGGCAACGCCGCAGGGCTGAAAATATTTTAGAACGATGTCCCCCTCGAAAATATAGTTGACGTGTTTCAGATTTTTTTATAATCCGGTTTTGGCGACCTACAGAGCCTCTGTTTCGTTTTCAACGGCCCACTCTGTATACATAGTTCGTCCAAATGACTAGTCAACAGTGAAATGGTACTGGTATCACTCAATACTATCAAGTATGATTACTTCGAGTGATTTCCTTTATTTCTTATCATAAGTGGAAGAGATGAAACTTTCCAGAAAATAAAAACTAATCCTCACCGACCACGAAAATATTAAAGTTATATGATTGAAAGTCTGTGTGTTTTCTGTTTTCGTCAGAGAACATATTCATTTCTGGAGAAGATACAACTGAGATCAATCAATATTTTCCTATATTTTATTGTTTATAATATCTGACCTAGGTTCTCTGTGAATTCATTTTGATTCAATCTTTAATTGTTTCCAAAAATGATATTATATATCAAAGGTTTGTCATTATGACAAAAAAATTAAGATCAATCAAATAGGCTAATTGAAATCAGATCCTAGCTACAAGTTTTCATGTAGGTATGCCAAACTTACTACAGTGTCCCGAAAATGAAGTGGGACACCTGAAATTTTTGCTCAGATTCATAAGATTATAACTCCCAAAATATTTAACGAATTTCAATTCGATTTCCAGATTTCGGAAGCTCGTTTCATTGTCTTAAGAATCATGAATTTTAAAAACGAAACAATGGGTGCAAGAATATTCTACAGGGCGATGAATGGTAAACTTGCATCAAAATTTGAGTGATCTTCATTTTGTCAAAAAATGATCCTTCTGGTTTTCACATATTGTATCATGGAATTTGATGTCATATTCCGAAATAGTTTTCATTTTCATTGATTGATCACAGTGTTCTGTTTTGATTTTTTTTTTGTAAAATGTCACAAAAATAGTGTGTTTCATTCCAAAAATTCTTCACTACAACACTTTCACGGTCATGTGACAGGCTCCAATATGTATTTATAAATGAACATGGCACAGTGTGCTATGTTCATTGATCGTATCTCATGATCACATAGGTGATATCTTCCTTCATAACTCTGAAGAGTGATGTGATATCTGGAAATGATATATTTTTTTATTATATCTCTGGGAATGAGAACTGGAGATGAATTTTCCGTTCTTTTTCATCCTCTCATCGATCAGGATATTCTTCTCGTTCTGGAAATATCGGGTGATTCAAAAAGTCGCTTGAAAAAATCATTCTTCAGAACATATCGACTTCCATTTCCTCATCAGTTCCTCTTCCGTTCGATGAGATATCATTTGACTCTCGAAATAATATGTTCTTCAGTTCTCAATTGATTGTAAGAAAAGAGATCCATTCTTCACGAAAATAATCCTGAAATTATAAATTTCATTGTAATGCTTTGGAAGTCTCAATGACAATCACAATAATTTTGCTCGATGTAGTTTCAGGAGCAAACAATATCGATAGTTTGAGTGTAATGCCAATCCAATACCAATTGCCATACCTATATACAGGGTGTCCCTGAAAGGTGCGGAAAAAAAGCTATCACAAGTTCCTGAGGCGTAAATATGACGATCTAACTCAACTTACCTCAGTGCAAAAGTGGATGATTTCAGAGATACAGAGTGTCAAAAGTTCAATTTAATTTTCATATTTTATAGATATTTTTTTTATTAATTGGTGTATTGTCACAATATTTGGCTTGGGGGGGTTTTGCTGGTTGAGAAATTAGAATTTGCTATCATTTTTATTGTGGAGTTAAGAGGGCGCCACCTGCGGAACCTTGCACACATTTAAAACGAAATAACTTTTTTGAGCCACCCCATATTTAATTTTTAAATGAAAATTCAGATCGTCCAACGTCTTTTACATAAAATATGTATACGTGGTAGGAGTTGATTTGAGCAGCTGTTTTTGAGATATCTGGATTTTAAAAATTCATTTCGTAAATGGCCAGGTCTAAATTATTCAGATCAAATTTCACTGCAGAAGAAAATGAATGAAAGAGTAACTTGGCTCCTCCACCATTCCCATGACTTACTGTCTGAAAATCGACATTCACACCAGATTTAAAATACAATTCCCTGTGACGTTGCCGACATCATCTATATTTCTAGATTTCTGGAAATCGTTCTTTGAATGCATAATAACTATATCATAACAGCAATTATTAATTATCGAGTATTATGAATAATTTCCATAAATCTCTCATCGGATGAATGAAGTTGA